ACTACTACTACTACTGTTGTACTACTGTTGCTACTGCCAGTGCCACTGCCACTGCTACTGCCACTGCTACTACCACTGCTACTGCTACTGCACTGCTAAGAATGGTACTGCCACTGGTTTGTGCCCCTGCGCTTAGGACGGTAACAGTAAGAAAACACTGGCCCGCGGCATATTTATGAACCCTAAGTCCGACAGCTTAAACCTAAATCCTTGCAGATTTCGGGGCACATGGGTTTCGGGACTTTGCGCAAATGCGGGCCCTTGAGGATCAGAATAGGCTTTCTAGGGTTTTAAAAAGAAAGAAGGCCTATGTAAGTTGAAAAGGGTTTACTGTTTAGGGCCTCAGCAATCAGTCTACGGATTCTTCTTTTTGTTTGGGCTTTAGACCGGTTGATGGCTCTTTGTCAAGGAAATAATTAGAGACGTTTGTCAGGTAAAAGTTTTCATATTGGTGCTTTAAGAATTCGACTACGGTTATGGACGCCCTGAGAATCATAGCGGGGCTTCGTAGGGAAAGTAGAGGCCGTGTAAATTGAAAAGTGTTCGGCGCAAACCAACAAAGCCCACGATTCCAGGATCTGCACAAACCGACGCCCATCCTCCTCCTTGAAGGAAGTGAACACATGCATGAACACCCAAACTCGTCAACCAACCGCCTTCCTACTACGGTGGATGATGTAAAATCCCGCACGAGTTTGTAAGACACCGGCCACTCCCCTACAACCCCTGCTTTTTAATATTGTCGAAAGAGAACGCGCATTAATAGGGCCGAAAAATGATATAGATCCTGGATGACCTATCCTCTGACATCAACATTGACATTCAGGGTCGCGGGAATGCAACTCTTTTGCACGGACATGTTGGGTTGACTCAAAGTCATGCAGCATGCACGATTTATGTCCTACTAGGACTATTAGGACTTTAGGAGTACTACCTACGACTACTACGACAACTACGACTACTACGACAACTCTACTACTACTGCTATTACCGCATGACGACCTCGTCCTAAAGCTAAATGCCAGCATCCAAGCTCGCGTGCATCCGCATCCTTGAATTCTGCATGTGGGTCCCGCTGCCAGGAGAGGGTCCCTCGACTCAGCTGCAGGCCCGTTTGCAGGCCACGGCTTGGTATCCCCCGAAGCCAGTCATTGGTCACATACTGGAGAATTTCGGAATGGGTTCGCAGCTTCGACAGGCCATGGGCAACGTGGAACTGTCCTTGCGATCCTGGTTCTCTTCAGCCTGCGAGAGATCCTCAGAGGTTCGCTGCAGGGCGTCTATCATCTCCTTGCGACACTCCATGCTCCCGGTTTGCACGGCTGCTGCAGGGAGTCCTCTTCCTGAGTCTGCGTCTTGGCCGCACTTGCCAGGGAGCCCTCTCGGCACTGTCGACTTTTGGTCTTGCTTCGCCACTTCCGCCACTTCCGCCGCTTCCGCCGCTTTCGCCGCTTCCGCTCAAGGAAGGCCTGGATTTCCTTCTTCGAGGACCTTGAGCCGCACGACCCTCTTCGGAGCGCGCAGCTGCGGGAGGCTGCGCCCGATGTGGCACCGAGTGGGCTGCGCCTTCGGCTCTCTTGTCGCACTCATAGTGGGTTGTGCAGTTCTTGTGGCAGGCTGGTGGCGAAGCAGCGCTTGAGCGAGCTTTCGAGGATGCCAGGAGGAAGCAGGCAGCCTTTCTGAAAATTTGGATGCCACCCCGCTATACAAGAACAAACCTTGGTGATCTGCCTGACACGAAGCTTCCAGTCAGTTAACCGACACGACATTAGCCAGACGTGGCGCTTTTCGGGCTCCAGGAGGGCGACTGCCCGGACCTCTGCTTTGCCTCCTTCCTCCATGCCCTCGGCAGCCTCAACCAGGCACAGCCGCTTCGCTGCTCGGGCGCAGTCGGCTGTTTGTTCGCCCTCTCAGGCCTTGGATCTGAGATGGAGCTCCCTCCTCGATTTCTTTCAGGAGATGTACAATCTATGCAATCTGTGCTGTGTTAACTGCGTCTCAAGATGCTTTGCAGGAAAACGACTGCGGCACCCGACCACCCAAGCGGCAGGCGAAGCCGCAATCGGTCCTTGCCTCAATAGAATTTGTGTCCGCTTTGGGTATGCGAAGCAGGTCGTTTACCTTGAAGTCTCAACAGATTGGATCCTCGGCAGCGGCTCAGATCACATCCGTGGCAGTGCTGCAGCACGCGTACGAGAAGGCCTTGCGGAGGCCACCGGATCCGGGTTAATTCGGCCCTGGCAGCTCCAAGAGCTCCAAAACCTGAGAATTCTGAGAAGCAGGGGAGCTATAATTATGGAACTTGAGACTGCGCAACAGTCCTGTCTATGTAAATCTTGGCTTCAGAACCTCGGCTTCTTCAGAGAGCCCGGTTCTTTCCCTGCAGGCTCAGGTGATCCTGAGCTGCGAGGCCAGGGCTAAGTTAGAAGGGGATCTTTGACACGGCACGATCTTCCCGGTAAGCTTGTGAGCTTTGGGAGAGTTTGGGCCCTACTTCAGGTATCCGAGGGTTAGCTGAAGAGGAGCCTGTGTCGGCAGCCCACGTGCCCTTTGCTCGTTCGTGCCCTCTGTTTGAAGCTCGCTCGTTGTGACTCCATGTTCCGGCCTATTGGTCTCAGCCGTAGGTGAGGTCAACGACTCCACGTAGCAAGACGGCTCAGGCAGTCAAGTCTTGCTGAGATCCAAAGAGTGTCTGAAGCCTGGACCCTTCTGGGGAAGTGGGACTTTGAGAGCCATCCGGGCGCTTCGGAGCAGGGAGCCTCGGGGAGTCGAGGAGACGGAGCTTCCGAAGGAAGCTTCCGATCCGCAGGACACCTGAGACCGCCAGCCTGACTCTGGCTTGGTGAAAAGATATGCTCGCTTTGAAGGGAGCCCACCTATCGTACTGTTGTACGACTCTCATTCTCAGACCTTGTATCCGAGAGGCAGAGCAAGCATAGGGTAGCAGGCCAGCGGCCAGCAAGAGTCAGAGAGCCCTAGCTGGAAAATGTCCGTTGTGCAGTTAGAGATAACTGAGCTGTGTTGTTTGGGAGAGTGCCAAATCTCAGGGTCGTAGGGTTGCGCGACAACTAGTACCTATACCCTCCAGCTTGCCAACTAGCCAGCGTGCTGGGGAAAGAATCTGCTACGGACCCCAAGGTCCTCTCTTCTCTACAACTAGATGGGGAGCGCAGCGCTTAAGGCGTGGGTCGCCCTCGAGAAAAGCAGAGACAGGGAGAGTGAGAAAGAGACAGTTAGCAATTATAGAAATATACAGTAGGCTGATACGGAGTTAGACTATTAGATAGTACTGGCCATGTCCACGATGGGTGCAGGCGGTGAGGCTCGAGCCTTCGGTAGCCGTTTTCGTTCCGGGGGAGACGCGAAGGCCCAGGTCGGGCAACGCTGACAAGAACATTCTCAGAGCAGGAGGCATCATAGTTTAAGGATCAGAAAGAGTCAAACAGCAGGGGAATTCAAGAACAGGCAGGTATGGCGTGCCCAAGTAACCCAGAACAGTGGATTGCCGAAAATTCCTGCATAGCGGGTGTCGGGTCAGAAAAGGAAGACCAGGTAAGCTTGCTGGTTCAAGCAAAGCTGCTACATGTTGTAAAGGGATTTTCCATCCACAAGGGCTGGGTTCTTCTAGGAAACTGTTTACACTGTTCATGGAAGTGGTCTTCAATGTGGAGACAAGAGGAATCGGTACACCAGGAAAGATGATGAGCAGTTGGAAATTATTGCTGGGTTTGAGCACGCACCGCAGTTTTGCCCAATGGTGAGTTTCTTGTGACAGGATGGCAAGATCATGATTGAAATTTCTATGAACAAGGCGGATATTAATGATTCGCAGCCGCAGCAAGCCAGTGAGCACAACTCGCTTGCGGCACTGTTTCGGATAATACAGTCATGAGTGACATGTAGAGCATAAGAAGCATATTCCACAAGTGTTCCAGAAGAGTTTACGGGTTATAAACACATTATGACTACAACCTTGAATGCTTTGCCTGGTAAACGATCCAGAAGATTTGCCAATTTCGGGAAGATAGTACGAGCTTTGGGATTGTGGACGAGGTACGGGCTATTATGCTTGGGGGTGTTTTCGGGGTATATGGGAGTAGTGCTTGATGCGGTGACTGGTGGTTTTCTTCCCCAGCTCCTCCAGGTTGCCAGCATGTCGATTATGGCCTACCACGCGCGTCGCAAGGCGTCCAGGGCGTTTGGGCCTGAGGAGAAGCTTCAGTCTTTTTTGCTAAGCCCGGTTGAAGCTAGCATCGAGCTTGGCAGACGCTTGTTTTGAAACTTGATGCTGGAAGTCAGGTGTTCTCTGATTTTATCGACATTTGCAGAGACGTTGGGAAGCCCATCCCAATCTTCGAACCTGTGTCCGACAGAGGTTCGCCCAAGCGTCGCTGTGGAACCGCGTGCGGTGCCCTTGGCTGACCTCTTCTGATTCTGACTTGGCTGCAGGATTACTACTCGATTACTACTCGTCATCTCCTATGCCAAAAGTCGCCCCATCCTCTGAGGGCCGAAAGGCGGCTCAATGACCTGAAGCAGTCGCTTGAGGCCTCAGGGCTGGTGCGGGTAGCTGCAACGGCTGTTTCCATCATCATAATTTGGAGGCCGTCACAAGAGGATGGGTGTGATCATGACGGTAATGTTGAGAAGCTCAATACCGGGAATCATCATACTGATGTATATGGCCACTGTATGATGATGCGGCCGTTGTGAGGACAAAGATGACAATCATGATGGTGGTGTTGAGAAGGATGACGATGACGATGATGATGATGATGATGACAAATGTTGATGATGACGATGATGATGACGATGATGACGAGGATGTTCATGATGACAACGGCTCTCATCACAGTTTCTCTCCGTCTTCGTCTTCTTCTTGACGAGCTTACCTGCCATCGGTGACTAATCTAGGTCATCAGCGCGACTCTCGTCATCATCCTCATCACCGTCATCATCACCAGACTCGTCATCCTCGTGAGCCATTCACATTCTGCCCCAATCTCGCTCTCACCTTCAAAATCATGTTCAGTTTCATCTTCACCGTCAACGCCAATTTCACCATCACCATCACAATCATCATGATCAACAAAAATACCTCTGTCGCCATCATGAGCATTAAATTCGCATGCGCTGCCCCCTATTGCACCACACCATCACCGCCGCCGCCACTCTTGCCCCACCCACCACAAGACTGCCACCACCACCACTACCACAATGAGCATTGTCACCACTGCTGTGATCAGGACCGTCGCACTCATGATCCTGTTCAGCTTCAACCCCACCTCTAGCACCCTGCTCATCATCATCATCACCACCACCATCATCATGGTCATGGTCATCATCCTCATCGTCATTTGCATCGTCCGCGCCACAACCATCATAAGGCACTGTTATCATCATGCTTACTGTCATTTTCGTCAGCAGGTCTCATCACCCTCAGCATCTCCGTACCATCTACACCTCAGAAAAGCTGTCTTGACATGTCGATGGACAGGAGCGAGACCTCAGAACATCATGACGTCTTTGTTGTCCTTTGTTCTGATTGCGCAAGTGGCCACTCGCAGTAGTGTTCTTGTCTTCCTGTCCCTGCTATAAATTTCCTAACCCTTGTGTGAGAATATGAGACCCACCTGATTATATATACATATATATATGTATATATATGTGTATATATATATATATTCATATACCGTAATATATTTTTGTATATATATATATACATATGGATATCATAATATTACCTAATAATAATGGTAATACTAATAATGATGGTAGTAGTAATAATAATAATATATATATATAGTTATATATATGTATATAAAACTATAGAACTGTATATCATAGTACTACCCACTATGATAATGATAAAAACACTAATAATAACAATATTGTATATGTATATATAGTATATATATATGTATATATAGTGTATATATAATAGTATATTTATATGTATATATATATAGATATATATATATATCTATATCTATACATATAGGATATATATATATATATATGTATATATATACATATATATATATAGATATGTATATATATATAGATATGTATATATGTATATATATATTACGATATATCATAATATTACCCACTATACTATATACCATAAGACACTTTTGCAGAAGCCCTGGGCCAGGCACCCGTTCCGCTGCCTAGCGTCGGTTTGCTGCCCAACGTGGCCTTGGCAATGGACCCTAAGGAGGCAGCCTCAAGCGAAACGCGGGTATATACTACATAATATTACTATGATATAGTATCTTATTATACTATATCATACAGTATACTATTATACTATGATATAGTATATTATTATGCTATGATATAGTATATTATTATACTCTAATCTATGGTAAAGTGCTGTGGTTCAGAACTGAGGCTGCGAGAAGATCCCTTTCCTTACTTTCTAGTTGCCTGATTGGTGCACCAAACATTGCTGCGTAGACCATTCCTGTGCCTGGATGATGAATCCTCGCCGTGCAGGACAAGTTTGTTACCGAGCATCGGTGTTGGACTCAGATTATATCCATAACTGAGTTCCTTCGTACCTCGCTGTCTTACTGCATATGGACCGCCGTTTCGTTTTTTGTCCTTGGGGGGGTTCAGCTCTTTGCAAAGTTCCTTGGGCTGTGCTTTAAGCATGTGTCTCGGTCTCACCATTGGGAATTCCGGCGAACTGCCGGTGGCTCCCATGATGTTTTCGAATGTCGGCCATGAGACGAAGATAGGCAGGTTCAGAAAGGAGTGAAACATGTACGCATCACTGTTCACTGGTGCTTGATTCATGTCTAGCCTGCCTAGCTGCAAGGAGCTCATCGCATAATTACTTCAACTCCAATACATGGAGGGTTGACTCCGCATGGTGTTAGTTCCGAGGGAGCTTTCAAGTCTCACTGATGCGATGATTAGTCGAATCTGTTGGTAGTGACTCGGGTACAGATGCAGCATATTGGAATATCAAAAATTGTGTTGGCCTCATCAAGTTGACAAGTTACTTGTACTGAGACTCCATGATAGCATCCGTCGCAGGCGCTCGTAGTCCAATCAGCTTGGGGAAGCTTTGCGACATGTGAGGCGGACAATTCCTGTATGTTGCACCTTCTTGCAGCTTCGAGGCCGGTAGAGAAGATGGCAGAGACCATGCAGCCAGCCAGGTGCATTCGGGATTTTCGCAAATCGGCGTAAAGATATGAATCTGAATGGTGCAACAACTTCTTCTGCTGCTGCTACTGCTGCTGCTACTGCTGCTGCTGCTACTACTACTACTACTACTACTACTGCTACTACAACAACAACAACTACTACTACTACTACTACTACTCCTCCTCCTATTCCTAGTCCTACTACGACTACGACTACGACTACGACTACGACGACG